ATTATTGTATCTGCTCAGTTCGCCCAAGATCAAATTTTATTTTTTTTTAAATCAAACAGTAGGTCCCCCCCCCCCGAAGAAGCACAGAGCAGCTAAACAATGAGGCTGATATAGGCTTGAAAATAACGCATGCCGAAAATATGTTCTATAAAAATGATTATGAATAATTAGTGAGAATTTTACTAAAATATCGTTAAAGATATTCGCGTGCCTCGGCCAAAGAAGTTGATATAATGGGGCCGAAAATGGCCTAAATATAAAATTAACAAATGATGCAATGTTGCTGTCGAAGTCACCCCTTTACGAGGTTTTTCACTGACGACTGATAATGGAGTATAGATAAAATATAAATAATGTCAATGGATATAAATAATATTTTCACTAAACCTATAAATGTATGCCTACGGTATATCTTCACATTTCTTAAAATAAAAATATTATCATATCAAAAATATATATCACTTATTGATTTGTATACAGTTTAAAGTTTTTGCATCGTCACTGTCATCAAATTCGAATAGTTCACATGTTGCTCAGTTACAGACAAAATTTTAAAGTAGGCTATACTTCGAATGTTGAAAGAGGGCGATATTCTGAATGACAGGATTATTTTGAGTCAATAAACTAGGATGTGTTTAAGTTCTCTGTCGACAAGACATATGGTGTACGGTAGTAACAGATTATATACACTTCTATGTAGTTCGGAAGTTGTTTGCAAATGAACTCAGTGACATATTATAGATAAAAAATCGTCATGAGGAAGTGGATGGTGATTGTGAAATTACCATAAGTTTGGAATGGAAGTAAAAACGAGAATCGCAAATGTTACAACAATAAAGTATATGTTGGGCCCCACTTGCGGCTTCAAATCTGTTTATTTACCCACTTTCCTTAAAAGTTGTTCGTTTTGATTGGTTCCGGCCAATATACGTAAGTATTATTAGAAACAGAATTATTATTACTATTATTATTACAGTATTATCACTAATAATTATTAGTTTATAGTAGTACAGTTGTATTAGATTTAGTAAGTGTTAGGACTAATATTAGTAATAATATAAATTAGTATTATAATCATTATTAATATTATTATTATTATCAATATCATTATTATTGTTACTGTTACTTTTAATACTACTGGCTTTTCTCAGCAGTAGCTGGAAAAGCCATTGTTTTTGTTCTGATTTTTTTTTTTTTTCAATACTTTTTCCCTATCTTTTTGCACTGGGTTTTCTGGCCGGCACTTTAATCACTTCCAATTAATGCTTGGAACTTTTCAATGCTTTGCCGAAGCATAGACCGTATATCAAGGATGTGCCTCCTAATATTTGGTGTCAATCTATGACGGGGTGTGTATATGAGGACCAATTAAAGTGATATAAGTAACAGTCTACACCAGATATTTCAAAAACGGGTCAATTAACATGAATGAAACATTCGAAAAGTTTGACCAAGTTACAAGAACAAAAAAATCATTATGCGTTGGGGACGATCTAGTTTAGGGTGTGAATTTGTATGTAATTAAATTTCTGAAGTCCAAAACCTAAATATCTCTTTAACAAATCAATGGGTATAACTAAAACTTTCTGTAATAGTTTGTCAATGTCTAGTAAAGAAATTATTAAATTTTTGTGACAAACCTGAGTAGGGTGTGGATATGAGTACCATTCAAAGAAAAACGTAAGAGACCAGATATTTCAAAAACGGATCAACTATTCTGAATGAAACATTCGGGAAAAGTTAACTGTTAACTAAGTTACAAGGAAGAAACTGTTATGTGTTTGGGACGGTCCAGTTGAGGGTGTAAATGTGAGGGTCATTTAAATATCTGAGGTCCGGGACCTAAATATATTTAAAATAAATTCAATGGGTCTAAATGTAACTTTCTATAATAGTTTTTCAATGTCTAGTAATTAAGAAATGATTACATTCTTGTGACGATCCAGACTAGGGTGTGGATATGAGAACCAAAGGAAAACGTCCCAGTTCAGATATTTCATAAAACGGGTCAACTGATCCGAATGAAACCATCCAGAACGTTTAACTGAGTTACAAGGAGGACATTTTTATGTGTTGGGGACAATCTAGGTTAGAGTGTAAATGTAATGGTCATTTAAATTGCTTACGTCCCAGGTATAAATGGATGAAAATAAAACTTTGCAAAATTGTTTTAGCTTTTCATAGTCAAATGAAGAAATGATCAAATTTTCGTGACGATGTTAATGTTATTATAGCCAGCAATGGCCCTTGGGCCTGTGAGTCTCGATGTACCTCACTATTACGATTGCAGCACTAGTTCGAATCTCACTAACGTCGTGGTTATTGTGAAATTTGTTTTTACTGTTATTTTTTTTTTTTTTAACTTAATAATTTTTTTAGTACTGTAAGTATTTTGGTTTTCCATATTTTTTGTTTTGTTTTTGTTTTTTTACTCAATGATACTTTTAACGACTTTACTTTTTGTTGCAATTTCAACTTCAATTCTCATTATATCAATGAGGAAAATTAATATGTTCTGTTGTACAAACAGACATATTAAGTCTAGTTATTATTATTAATATTATTATTATTATTACTATCATTATTATTATTATTATTATTATTATTATTATTATTATTATTATTAATATTATTACTGAAATACACACGGACATTACTTTCAAAGTATACATCGGGAATAATTTATTCAGTATCTCAGGTGAGATTGAATCTATCGTAATAAATCAACTATAACACCTGAGTAAATGAAACCTCAATAAGTCACAAGTAAACTTTCTTTGATCTAGCCGTCAATTTGTGTGCGTTTTGAACTCGGAGTGTTTGGTTTGAAAACGTTATCAGTTATTGTATTCCGAAGGGTCATTTTCATTGGTCAAGTATGCCCAGGCAAGCCACTTCATCGACTACGTTCCTGTGATGTACATAATTGCTACTCGCAGAATCACATCCATTTATGGACGGAGAGCTGAATTTTTGTCATCTGTACCACAAATGTATCAATCCTTTTTACAAGAAACGTCTTGATTATATCTATCAACCAATTTACCTATCACTTGTCTATTGCAGCATATTGATATGGAATCAATTACTAATTTGACTAATGAGTGTTTTATATTATATTGCAATAAAGTGACAAACAAAAAATATATAAATATTGCTATATAAAATAGTAAACATTGGAAAAAAGTAATAACGTTTAACGTTTCGGTCTCTTATTATTTTGGTACCAGATTGGTGCATGACCTACCTCTTTTAATTTCCAATATATGATGGCGTTATGAATCATCAATCATCATCTTTTTAATAATGGGGACAAACAAAGCATTATAATAACTTTCGCGAACGTTTTGGTTAGGTATATTTAAAAAAATTATGTTTAAACAACGTTTAAAAGTCATTTAGTTGTGGGATTACGTTATAATTAGGTATTTATTCTACAAAAAGAACTTTTATACACCAAACTGTAACGTTCTTATAACCTTATTATAAGGTAAAATTGTTAGAAAGATAAATACTCAATAGACGTTTTCTGGAAAACAATATTAAAAATAAGATTTTTTAAGATCCGGTTAGGCCTACTTTGAAATTTCTCCTCTGATTTTGTAAAATAAACAAAATGAAAAAGACATGTATTTGCATGTATGTATAATGGGCATACTAAAATATACGCTGACTAAAATATACTTGTACGTATAAATAGGTTTGAAATTTACTTACGTATTTAAAACTGCATGGTTATTGAGAACTTTGCTATTAATGTAATTCTATGGATCATTTTAACTTCCTCCGTAACTAAGTGGGCCCTACCATTTTAGATCAGTTCAAGGTTAACCAATTTAAAATATTGACGAAACAAAATTAATTTGAAAATTATTTCTTATACATATATTATTACACACACTGCAGCACTTATAAAATAGTGCTATCTCAAAATCAGAGAGGATTTTTTGCAGTTTTAATAACAATATGTGGTGATGAAATGCTTTTAACAGAGGAAAACAAAAAAAATGAATGAGAAGAAAATAAAACAATGCAGATAAGGAAACAAACACCACCGAGCCGTTTCCCAGCAAGGCCTAAAATTGCAGGTCTAAATTACTATATAGCAGGGAACAGTGAATATATTTTAAAAAGTTTCAGGCTGTTTAATATTGGTGTAGAATCTGCTTTCTATTTGGCACTTAATTTATATCTAGTTAAAAAAAATACTAAAGTTTTACTGGGGCTGGACATGGCTAGACCATTCTCATGTATCTTGGCAACCATATCAAACCCATATATTTTATTTCAAACTGGACCAATGTTTACCTGGCGGTTATACTTTTAGCTTAAAAAATCAGCAAGCAATGTGTCCCCGGACCCAGTGGCGGCGCTAGGATTCCCCCGACGGCAGGACAACAGCCCTGGCAGGCGAGCAAGTATTGCACTTTGGCGTGAAGCGCCATAGGCCCAAGCGGAGGAAGGGTTTCCCTAATAAAAAAAAAAAATAGTAATAATAATAAACCGCTAGACACTCATACAGGATATCTTGAGCTAAGGATGGTGTTTTTTGTATCTCATCGGCGTTCAAACTGTTAAGGACTATAAATAGGCCTATTCCATTCAGGCAAACATTTGTTATAAAAGTTATAAGATATTATTTTTTATTCCCCAACACATTTCTCCTAACTTCCCCGGCGGAGGGTGGGGAGCATCTCCGACGTGGCTGTAACCCCTCCTATCCACCCCCTCCCCCTCCATAGCGCCGCCACTGCGAGCCGGACCGATGGAATAATTTTCTTACCCTGGATATTTTCATCAACATAACAAAACACGTTAATCTTCTGCCTATCCACCTATCAATAGTTCGGCTAATTCTATTGGCCGAAATAGAAATCATTTTCAATCTATAGGATTGCCTATCACCTCTTGACAGGCTGGTCAGGTGCAGGGTCTATTGAACTATCGATCACCCGGACTGGCATTTAAGTTTCAGGCTTACAATTTGTTGAAACGGAAAATTCACCTCAAAATAATTCTTGATTTAGCTATATAGATGCTTGTAAAAGAAAACGGTTAATTTTTTTTAGACCACAATTGAACCTGATTGTATTTCACGCTGCAGGAACTATATTAGGCCTGTCGAGATTTCTGATAAAACAATTCTGAATTTGTAAATTCTGTGGTTTCTTATAACCGCTCTTACTAGCAAACATCGACGGATATAACGATCTAATGATAGATAGAAGCGATGTTACAGAAAGGCGTAAATGTATTACTGTTGGTCTGTATATTCGCATTAGGTAAGTTTTATAATACTTATGTTTCATTTTCGAATTCAAATAAATTTAATAATGTGACATAATATGTATAATAACTTGCCTGTAACTTTTGGGCCGGCAGAAAGCAAAATTGCTTATATTGTTGCCCAACTCCAAACAATACTGTAACTGCTGTTGGTGGCGAACTGGTGCATGAGCCTTCGAAAAAGGTAGAATTCAAAAAAAAAAGTTTTACCGGATGGTTTCTCATGCCTCATTAAAACGCTATTTAAATACATTATTTAGGGAACTAGCCTTAATAACTGATTTGGGCAAATTATTCCATGAGTCTACCACCGGACATGAAAACGAATACTTCATAGAATCCAATCAAAAACGACTTTTGTTAAGTTTGAATGGGTGACCCCCTGGTCTGCTGAGCATATATTAATTTGAAAACAACAGAACTATCTAATTTGGTAATTTGGTGAGACCTTGAACAATTTTATAAATTTGAACGACATAATATACTAAAAGTATGCCCGCATGAAAATAATACAGGAGTAGTGTATTTGTTGATAGCTTGTATTGCGCAGTGTAATTCAGACCAATTTTAGAAAAATGTCTACGTCAATTTTATTTATATTAAGTAAATACATTCGATTTTTATTCTATTACCGTATCTACAAATCTTATTACCTTTTGCAGTACACTGCTACTACACATTTTTAAGAATTCACATGAAATGTTTGTGGTTTTTTTGCACTAAAGCTTGTTGATTTGCTAAACATTTATTAGTTCTCCAACAGTAAAAAACTATAATGATAATAATAATAATAATAATAATAATAATAATAATAATAATAATAAGCAATTGAAATGGTTGTAAACCATCTCAAAACGTTCAATAATTTTATTTTTTATAATAATTATGATTTTATAATATGATTGTAATATTAAATGTATTGATGAATCCAATTATTTGTTTCTGGAAACAAGTAATTGTTACAAATAATTTACATTTTATTTAAGTAGGCCTGCATATTGGCATAAATGCTGTACAGAATATTCTTGATATAAGCTGTTTCAATAGGCCTACATATATCAGCATGTTTTGTTATAAAATTGAAGATAGAACATATATGCCATATTGTATTATTTAAGTCGCGATACGTCTAATTGGCTTTCTTTTAAGAAAAAGCTTAAAACCTATTTATTACAGAAATGTTAATGTAATGTAAATGTAATGTAGTGGGATTTGGTATAGCGCATTATACCGAAGTCTCAATGCGCTGGAAAAACAAAAAGCAACTCCTATTGTAACCAAACTACAGATGCAGAGAAACAGACTGAGCAGAAGAACCAAACATCACTGCATCGTTCGCCTGCAATTTAAGACCTGTCTCTTATACACATCTTCTATTGAACTATCGATCACTTAGGTAAGTTTTATAATACTTATGTTTCATTTTCGAATTCAAATAAATTTAATAATGTGACATAATATGTATAATAACTTGCCTGTAACTTTTGGGCCGGCAGAAAGCAAAATGCTTATATTGCCCAACTCCAAACAATACTGTAACTGCTGTTGGTGGCGAACTGGTGCATGAGTCTTCGAAAAAGGTAGAATTCAAAAAAAAAGTTTTACCGGATGGTTTCTCATGCCTCATTAAAACGCTATTTAAATACATTATTTAGGGTACTAGCCTTAATAACTGAATTGGGCAAATTATTCCATGAGTCTACCACCGGACATGAAAACGAATACTTCATAGAATCCACTCAAAAACGACTTTTGTTAAGTTTGAATGGGTGACCCCCTGGTCTGCTGAGCATATATTAATTTGAAAACAACAGAACTATCTAATTTGGTGAGACCTTGAACAATTTTATAAATTGAACGACATAATATACTAAAAGTATGCTCACATGAAAATAATACAGGAGTAGTGTATTTGTTGATGGCTTGTATTGCGTAGTGTAATTTAGGCCAATTTAAAAAAAATGTCTGCGTCAATTTTATTTATATTAAGTAAATACATTCAATTTTTATTCTATTACCGTATCTACAAATCTTATTACTTTTTGCATTACACTGCTATTACACATTTTTAAGAATTCACATGAAATGTTTGTGGTTTTTTGCACTAAAGCTTGTTGATTTGCTAAACATTTATTCGTTCTCCAACAGTAAAAAACTATAATGATAATAATAATAATAATAATAATAATAATAATAATAATAATAATAATAACAAGCAATTGAAATGGATGTAAACCATCTCAAAACGTTCAATAATTTAATTTTTTATAATAATTATGATTTTACAATATGATTGTAATATTAAATGTATTGATGAATCCAATTATTTGTTTCTGGAAACAAGTAATTGTTACAAATAATTTACATTTTATTTAAGTAGGCTACATATTGGCATAAATGCTGTACAGAATATTCTTGATATAAGCTGTTTCAATAGGCCTACATATATCAGCATGTTTTGTTATAAAATTTGAAGATACAACATATATGCCATATTATGTATTATTTAAGTGGCGATAGGTCTAATTGGCTTTCTTTTAAGAAAAAGCTTAAAACCTATTTATTACAGGAATGTTAATTTACCTTATTTCATCGCTTAGCACCTTTGATAAGAGTTGGCGCTATATAAATATTGTTGTTATTATTATTATTATTATTATTATTATTATTATTATTATTATTATGCGCTTATCTCCAGTTATTATTATTATTATTATTATTATTATTATTATTATTTATTGTTGTTATTATTATTATTTATTATTATTGTACTATTGTGGTTTAGGCAGTACATTTGGGATAATACAAACAAGCTTAAAACTTATTTATTACAGGAATGTTAATTTACCTTATTTCATCGCTTAGCACCTTTGATAAGAGTTGGCGCTATATAAATATTTTTGTTATTATTATTATCATTATTATTATTATTATTATTATTATTATTCGCTTATCTCCAGTTATTATTATTATTATTATTATTATTATTATTATTATTATTATTATTATTTATTGTTGTTATTATTATTATTTATTATTATTGTACTATTGTGGTTTAGGCAGTACATTTGGGATAATACAAACATTATATAATGTTTTATAATTCATTTAAGAATAATAACACAATAGTTTATGTGGCATGATGTATAACAGTATTAGAGTGGATATTATTGGTATGCTTAGTCTTTTCGTGGGATCCTCGTACACACTCTGCTCCTCTCATCAATGAACTCCATTGGTTGCGAGTTAATTAATTATTATCAAAATTATTCTCACTGTTATACAAATGTATCAATTTTTTTCGGCAAACTATTTATGTTGTTTTTCTTGACCAACGTATCCCTGCATATACCACGTTGCAACGAGAGAATTTGAGGTTTTTCATTCCTTAGTTATGTTTCTAGGCTTTGGAATAATCTTCAAATTGACCTTAGGGATATTTCAGATCATAATATTTTCAAACGTGCCCACAAGACTTACTTACTTACTTTTTCTGCATTTTCCGTTTTGTGTCCAGTAGTAATCTGTATTATTTGGTCTTTGTCATCATCATCATCATCATCATCACCATCATCATCATCATCATCATCATCATCAGTTACTGTTCTTGTTGTTATTGCAGGAATGGGATTTACAGCCCCCGATCCATTGCTTTTTGTTTTGCCTCATTGTAATTGAGTCTAATTTCTTTTTAATTGCTTTGTTATTTCTGACATCCAAGTCACCTTTGTCCTCCTTTTTTCTTCTTTTTTTTCAAATGTCGTTCCGCCTTAAACATCGCGAGTTTAAGTAGTCTATTTAGATGTCCGAACCATAACAGACGGCGGATTTCAATAATTTGGACCATTTTACCGCTTTCGTTCCAGTCCTTTATGCCACAATCTAAACAACCTTTCATTTTTGGTGGGATTACATTCTAAATTTCTTTTAGCTAGTTCTTCTGGAATTATTCTTTTCAGTACGACTGCAACTTCATGGTTCCTCTGTATAAGGTAGTTGATAACATCTGCGTATTTGAATGTTATGCTATCTGTGGTAGACTCTGTCTTATATTTCGTAGTATTTGATCTTTTTTGAAGGTTCGAGTAATTATCATGGTCGTGAAGATGATGTGTCTGTAAAGCTTTCTCTGGTGTGATTTCTTGATTTGATAGTACCTTCGCTAGATATAATGTGAATAAAATGGGACTTAAGCAGTCTCCCTGTGGACATCCCATTTTAGTTATAAATTCTGTTCCCTTTGTCCACATTTGACGATCATAATTTTAATAATGTGCAGTTCATCGTCGTTAAGTATCTCTTGCAGGTCTTTCAGAAAGGTCTTTGTTCTTTGTGAGACTGTACTATTGTGATCCATGGGGTTCCTAAATGATGACCAATTTTATGCCTGCCACTGTTTTCCTAAATAATTGAGGCTTGGCTTGAGAATCATAACCGCAAGGGAAAGGCGCAATATAAATGCCCATTACCAGTACCAGTATGTTACAGTACTAAGAATCAGAATTAACGATCAGTCAACCAATTTATTGGATACACTTTTGGTACAGACTCGTACAAAATAAATGATGCATCCATAAGTAAAGATGTATACAAGAAAATACATAGTAAAAAAAATTAACCAAATGGCAATATACAAAGTGATACTCTATAGAGGTATAACAATAGTCGGTGAAGAATAACACATCTTTAAACTCGATTACACGTTAAAATAGATTATATTTCTTAGGGGGTTATACGCCAAGTTGGTTGAATCAGTCAAAGCTTCAAACACTTAGTTGGTAAGTTTTTAGGTTATTTCTATAATACTAATAGAACCGTTTAAATGCTGTCAATTTATCAGTATATAAACAACAATCAAGAATTAAAGCAAATTTCAACTACAAAGGGTACACAACACGTTTTGATAAGAAACGCTAAATGATAGCTTAGAAGATTCTGGGCCATGATAATGATCAATCAAATTATACATGAAAATGTATTGCCTGTTGCCAATGACCGAAGGAAAGATTCATCTATAAATAGAACCGTTTAAATGTTGTTTAAATTATCATTATATAAACAAGAATCAAGAATTAATGCACATTTCAACTACAAAGGGTACATTCCGTTTTTATACATAAAAAATAAACGGTAAATCATAGTTTACAAGATTGTAGGCTATGATAATGATAAATCAAATTATACATGTATTATTGTATGAAAATGTATTGCCTGTTAATAATGACAGAAGGAAGGATATACAATCTGAAATTTACGTTTTTCTAAATTCAAATTCTATGTTTATGTTCAATTCTATTTTCAACTTCTATTTGAATCGTTCCTTTTCATAGTTGTCATTAAAATGTTATTTATTTCTGTGGCCTAAATATAAAATAATTTCTTTTAAAATTCATATTTTCTGTAAAATCACAACTGTTATGTTTTTTTTAGAGGTCCTAACCATTATAATTGTTATATTTGGAGATTTTTTTTACTTATGAATATTTTGATAGTGGTATTCACATCTATTAAAGGAATGATTTGTGATATTCGTTAATTTATTATATAAAATATCACTTTATTGCAAACAACAATAAGGAAAACGCATAATACAATCCTAGATCATGGCCCAGATGAGGCACACGCAATGAGAAAAAATCAGTAAATAAAAAATTAATTAAAAAAATTATAACAATCCTATTTAGTCAGTTATAAGATATGGAGGATTAATCCAGGATGGTTCGTTTTTCGCGTAATATATACTAAAGGAAGAAATTATGGCAAGTTTAGAAATATTGTTACGGATTTTTTTTTTTATTAATCGGGTTATTGCACATTTTCAAAATTGTTTTTATATTGCGGGGAGAAATATATCCACGAGAACCCACCTCAAAGCAAATCAACTGGACATCATTGCCGGAGTCACTAATGTCCCTAGTCAGAGGTGCATACTTGTTACATTTTCGAGAATGGGCCGTCTCAATGCCCAGTTCGAAAGGAACCGTCAACTCGAAAATGACGAATTTTTTCAATTCCTTCCAGAACAGACAGAGATCTGGGATCAGAGTTGTCGTTGCACGCTCCAAGGGGATGGTTGAACGGGTGTTATGATTAGTGACTCCGGCCTCGAGGTCAGATTTGAATTTTGGAGGGTTGCTAGTTTTGTCAAAGCCTTTCGTTAAAATATTAACAATATAATTTAAAATATTATTATGTCTCCACGTGAGACGGCCCTGGTCCAGGGACTGTTTACAGTTGTTAAGGACGTGGTGTAAAGTTTCGCGTTTTCTACATGCCTTACACAAATCGGAGGTGAGTTTGCCTCAACGTTTTAAGTTAGTGCGTGTGTTAAGCGTGTCGCCAAGAGAATTCTGCTTGGTTTTAAACAGTTTGTGAGTAATTTATCCAGATTACCAGATTGGTAACTTTTATTTTATTTATTTATTTTTAGAAGGGATTGCATCAACAATTTACAAAATTCGACCGAACCGTGGCAGTTTTAGAGGAGCAACTCGAATAACTATATCTGGAAATGGTAAGTTATAATAGTCATTCTTAAATTTATTTGTATAATAATCAATAAAATGTGTATAATATGTCAATATCACCTTTTATAAATGTAGAAAATCTTATTACAAATAAAATATCAAATACGATAGTATTTGTGGGCTAGATACTTCGACGATATCGTTAATTTCTATAGTCTCGTGGTTTTTGAATATAATATCTTCGATAATGTGTTAATATCATTTGTATTGAAACAGTTTACTTTTTCTTTGAACGGGTCATAAATTTGGTGTATTGATTGATTGACAAGCTTACTTAAGGATTGTTTATTGATTTTTTTTCTCAAGATTTTAGTCCAAATCAATTCAATTTTGGTGACGGAAATGAAAATAATGGAAACCGAGTTTATTTTCGATCAGCAACTGCCACTGTAGAATGTGACGTCATTACATACTGGACTACAGAAAGCACTATCTATTGTGACACACGGTAAACAATATTTTCTTTTACATTTAACAGTTTACGTTCGGTAATTACAACGTAAATTGATCAAAAATGTTGATGTTCTAGGATTACCCTGAATCAGTATAATAAGTCTATAATTATAATACGGTCCATTGGCTTAGGCCAAACAAATTATTAAAGAGCCTTCTGCTTGTCTATCGCAGTTTAATTGGTAAGGCACCAATCTATTAATCCGACTGAATACCACTTACATCCCAGGTAGGGACTCTCTTCGAACCAATGATTCTTTGCGACTAGTCAAGAGGCGTAACAAGAGATCTTGGGGCACACGCGCATTTGTGTCGGCAGTATCCGATTTATGGAACCATTTAGGCCTACCTGAACGTATTAAGGTGTCATTTGTCTCTAAATTGCTTTAAAAACCATTTAAACATCACCTTTTCACCTCTTTTTAATCATTATGGTGTTTCGTGTCGTCTCCGGACTAATTTCTTGATGGCCAATTTTGGGCTCTACTTTCTTTTTTTTTTAATCGATACCAGGTCACTGTGTTTACAGTGCACGGAAGTGGAGCCAAGGACTTATTCTAAGTTGGAAGGTACCCGAGCCCAGCGTACTGACTAACGTGTGTCCCTGCGCGCACATGGGTGTGACAGTGACGCTGTTTCTATATCAGATGGTGAAGTCCCATCCTGGTCACCTTCGGTTTTTCTGTGCCAATTGTCACTATTGTTATCGGCATTCGCGTTTCTTTTGAAGGTTTTTATTTACTTCGTTTGTTTATTTATCTTGGTCTAATGCTCAGACATGCCAATACGCCATGAGCGTTTTTGAAGGATACCGGATAAATGTCTGTTTATTAATATAATATTCTTAACTTTAGAGCGGCGAGTCCAGGACAGTACTCAATTTACCTCACAGTCGATGGTCAGGAAGTTGGTAGTTACTGTAGTAAATATAAAAATTGTAATTTTATGGTAAGTTTATAAATCATTTTAAAATGTTCATTGCTTGTTCTTTTTCTGAGCTCTATTATTATTATTAATCGTGGCTGCAATAAAATCGCTACACTGACGATATAGCAATCGCTACACTATGTAGCTGTCTCTGTCGCAAATGGCAGGATACTAGCATAAGAATCGTCGTTGACAATTTTGCAAAAATAAAATTTCTTCTCATCGATTGTCACGCGATGATGCTGAATTTTGACCAAAAAACCCTAATCAGATATTGCATTAATTTGCACGCCAAAAGCATAAAGGAATTTAATGATAATGTTTAAGAGAGAACTAAAGTACATGGCCTTGTTGTTCAAACGATGAATTGTTTCTTATGTCAAAAATTGTGCTTTAAGGCACCTATTAGTAATTGGCAATTAAAATAACGTTATTTGTATAGGCGAATTAACATATCACTGATTCAATATTTAATTTTTAGTTCATGAATATTAATTTATGCCCATCGATATTTTCCTCCAAATATCTAGTACGAGAGCAAAAGGACACCAAAAATTAGAAGTATTTCGCCAAGAGCGGGAACGCCAGGTAAAATAATTATAGAATCTTTATCTTTATTATAATATTCTTATTATTATTATTATTATTATTATTATTATTATTATTATTATTATTAATATTATTATATTATTATTATTTTTGTTATTATTATTATTAGTATTATTATTATTAATAATATTATTATTATTATTATTATTAATGTTATTGCTACTGTTATTATTGTTGTTATTATTATTATCATTATTATTATTATTATTATTATTATTACTATTATTATTATTAGTAGTAGTAAGTAGTTTTATTGTTATAATTATTATCATTGACTTGCAAATATAATTGAAACTGCCAAACAACGACTGAATTTTGCCTACTACAACTCACTCGAAGACGTCTGAAAAAGAAAACAGAAGAGCTACAGAATGTCCATGAAGAAAACAAGCATGCAAATGCATGGGATGTTCTGAGAGAGATAGTCCCACAAATTCTAGCTGCCAGACGCATAAATGAAGAAATCAAAGTTGCTGACATGGAGGCTGCCATCATTTTATATATTTCTTAAAGGCTTTTTGACTCTGTCAATAGAAATGCCATGATACACATTCTATCTCTATATAGTATCCCAGACAAGATGATTAAAGCCATCTCCACTATGTACGAACATATCCAAAACCTGCTTAATTCTCAATCCAGATAGACCTACAAAATCATTAATTTACCACCAGTTGTGCGATCCTCCAAGGTGATACACTTGCACCCTTTCTTTTTATTATTGTGGTCGACTAAATATTCTCAAGCAGTTTCTCGACGACAACTCAAAAGGGCTTACCACCACTTCCAGCAGGTACCCTAGCTTACACATCACCGACTTAGACTACGCTGATGACATGGCTCTCATTGTAGATCTCATTCAGAATACACAACTTCTAATACTCCTTGCATCAAAAGGTTCGAATTTCACTCAACGTCAAGAAGACTGATTTTATGCCCTTCGACCAAAAAGACCCCAACCAGTCCATCTCCTCTCTAAACAGATTAAATATCAAAGAATTCCAAGACTTTAAAGAGTCTTATTTCATTATTATTTTTAGTAATGGTTGCTGTATGGACAATGTTGTTTTACATGTGCAAAATTCTAGTTGCTCACCACCGTCTATTAACACTGACACCATATCTGTGCATAATACTACCCAACTTCATTCACAGTTTTTTGACCGTTCCAAAACACATTTGATATAAAATTTTGCCTTTCATATACAAACAAAATCCTTCATAATCACACCATTCTACATTTTCTAATCTTATTATAATTATGTTTGCGGATTTGCCCTCGCTCTCTTTATCCATCCATACCGTACTAGTCAGCTGAAGACATATTGTGAAAGAAATGATTAAAACCAAAGATAATAAATAGCAGAAGATAAAGCAGCTTTCCAATATAGTGGAACATTCGTTCGAAATGCATTGTGAGTACACAGAGAGCAATTTTACCCCGTCCGCGCGGCGGCGCTATAATCAATACAGTAGTAAAGATGCTGTTTCGGTTGTTTCCTGTAGTTTCTCCACTCAGTCAAATTGTCAATTACACCGCTCGCGGGAGGGCGGATGTTCCATTAATTTTAACGCAAATACGCTATTTAAGTTCTTTGCTAAAACTCACATATTATTCTTTTTATCTTTTAGATACATTGCTAAAATTCTATGGGTTCATCGTCTCAGACATTGTTACACCGAGTCAAACTCAGTTCGATGATTATAAAGATTCGAGCACTGCAGTAGAAATTCAAAGGTAGGCCATTGAAATCGAAATTGAATCATGACCTATTTTTAAAAATTACTATGGTTTAATGATGAATCGGATGATGGTGATGATAAAGTTTATGTTAATGATGATAGTGATGATGATGATTATGGTGATGGTGCTGGTGATGATGATGATAATGATTATGATGATGATGATAATAGTGATGATGGTGATAACGATAATGATGATTTATGTAGGAGCAGTTTAGGTCAGAGGTTGGAGATTCTGCTTCCCAACCTTGAGGTCTCAGAGCCGTTGATTACAGCCGCAACCTTATGGAATTTTCCCCGGGGACCTGAGTATGTGTTTCATGTGTGCTTGATCCAATGACCGGGGTAATATTGTTAAGCGCATAGAGGTCTCTACAATATGCGCTCTACGTTTGACCATTATTATTATGATGTTAATAATGATGATTATGAAGATGTTAGTAAAGATGACGATGTTAATAAAAATAACTAGAAAAGTGATGATAATAACAATTATGATGGTGATGATGATGATGATGACGATTATGATGATGACCTGACATAAATAAAATAATTGTCAATTCACACATCATTTGGCCTTTCACTGAATGGTGATAATTTAATGTTTGTATAAATAATCGAAAGAAAATCGAACTTAGGACCACTAGATATGCTAGATAAAAACAACCACTGAATTGCGCTAGTGGCTATCATATAATTCCTATGGAAGGAGATCGATTTCCACCCAATTTGTTTTTTAAACAAAATAATATTAAATGCTCATTGATTAAATTAAATTTTAAGTTTACAAGAGGAAATTCACATTAAAATATTCAAGAATTGGTATATCAATAGAAAGTATATTTAATTCGAGGAGCAGTTCGACAGTGCAGGAGCAAGTCTGAGATGGGTCAAAGAGATATGGATCTGTACTGATATTTTTTTAATAATAAGTAGAGCTCCGATGGCGCGACGCACGTGCAACGGATCGCTTCTAATGACGATCAGACTACCACCGAAAATCTGCAAAATGTGTCACGTCGTCTAGCGTTCACTGGGAGCGGAGTTAAATTCGTCGTTCAACGTTCTTTGACGCAGTGCGTGCCCGGCTTAATGCTATTGACTTTATACGTTTGTCTTGTTTTTTTTTTGTTTTTTTTTTTTTGTACAATCAGTGTTGATGCCATGAGTGTTAATAAATAATATTTTTTCAGAGTTTACATGGGGTCCAGTATTTGTGACCCTATTGACCAAGAAACAGGCACTGTGTAAGTATTTTTGTGCTTTTAATTTACTGTTTCATCTGTAACCATGAATCTATCAGGAGTAAATTATAGATAATAAACAGGATAATAATCATAGTAAAAATTATGTAAATAATACATAGGTCTATAACTAATAATCATAATGCATGTAATAAATTAATACTTGATAATAATAATAATAATAATAATTATATTAATAATAATAATAATAATAATAATATAACAATCGATTTAAGAATGAAAGTGTCATATATTTGTGTATAAATAATGATTTGGCGCATATATCGCACGTGTCCAAACTGTCAGAGATATTCTGATATGATGTAGAGATTAACTTAAAATCGCCTTATATGTATATATGCT